GCTGGAGGCGGGGGTGCCCCCGGGGGCAGCGGCGGGGGCAGTGGTGGGGGCCCGGGCACTGCCTTCTCCATCGACTCCCTGATCGGGCCGCCGCCGCCTCGCTCGGGCCACTTGCTCTACACCGGCTACCCCATGTTCATGCCCTACCGGCCGCTAGTGCTGCCGCAGGCGCTCGCCCCTGCGCCGCTGCCGGCTGGCCTCCCGCCTCTCGCCCCACTAGCCTCCTTTGCCGGCCGCCTTACCAACACCTTCTGCGCGGGCCTGGGCCAGGCCGTGCCCTCGATGGTGGCGCTGACCACCGCGCTGCCCAGCTTCGCGGAGCCGCCCGACGCCTTCTACGGGCCCCAGGAGCTCGCCGCTGCGGCCGCCGCCGCCGCCGCCCGGAACAACCCCGAGCCGGGCGGCCGACGCCCGGAGGGCGGGCTGGAAGCCGACGAGCTGCTGCCCGCCCGGGACAAAGTGGCAGAGCCCCCACCGCCCCCGCCTCCGCACTTCTCAGCGACTTTCCCAAGTCTGCCGGGTAAGTGCTGGGCCGACCAGGGCGCCGGGCGGGAGGCTTGTTCACTTGGAAATCCCAGACAGCAGCCTGCTCAGAATCTCGGCACCTGCCTGGAGCCCTGGAATCCCAGACCCCCAGATGTCGGGTTCTGCAGAACCACCTCCAATTCTGTTCCAAACAGGGCACCTCTGGATTCCCAGAACCGCTGCCCCGCTCTGTCTTCCGGAGTGCCTGAAGCCTCACCCAGGACTTCCCAGTACTCCCTTCCAAATTAGTACCTTTCCTTCCCACGTTCTAGTCCTCAAGCCTCTGCTCACACTTCTCTTTTTAAGAATCCCTTCATTTTTCTCCTCTGCGGAGAATAGAGAAGCTGCAACTGTGGGATTCCTGGGGACACTAGCAAGACCTTAGGGTGAGGGTACATTGGGGGCAGCTGTCAATTCAGTAAGGGGAGGGCAGTTCTGGCTTCTGAGAAGATTGTATTGACCCCAAATAGGCTCTGTGAATGCAGGGGCAAAGGGAGGGTCCAAGCAATGGTGACCACGTTGGTGACCTGTCTTTGCCTTAGTAGTAGAGGTCACTTCTGAATTGGCACATTTAGAGATCAGCCCTGAAGAACTGAGTAGGGGGCCTAAGGGAACATTAGCTAGCAGGGGGCCTAGCACCTGCTGGACCAGGACTGACCCGGGGAGGTCAAGATGGAGGCTAAAGCTGGGCTGGGTTGGGCGTGGCACAAAGCCTGGAGTCGAGAATATAGCTAAGATTCTGGAACCAGTGAGATTCAGCCAAGAGGTAATTCAGGAACCCTGGCTCCTCCATGGGAAGGTGCCCTCTCAATAGAGGCAGGGTGTATCAAACTGAACCCTGTGTAGAATCAAGCTACCCGGAGCCCTCCTGACCTCCCTAATCGATCCTCAAGCCCTAGATGCCAGAAAAGCTTTCCCCTATCCAGGGGCAGATCCAGGTGTGATGAGATCCAGAGCTTATACAATTTAGTGGACTCTGTTTAAGGAAAACAGGCTGCATGCAAGCGTGGGGTTCCTGAAGCTTAAACTTCTTTAGCGCCAGGATGAATCCACCTCTGCTTAACCATTTGTCACATCAGCTTAGCAGGTAAAAGTGACCCCAGGAGGCCTGGGGGCTGACTCTAGCAGAGGCAAGGAGGAGACCCAAGAGTCCTTTTGTCCTTTGCCAGGAGAAGACAGTTCCTGGTGATAGGTTTCTGGGCCCTTCCTTGAAATTATCCGAAGGTCTAACCACTCTTCCAGACCCCAAGTGCTGCTACAGAGCCTGTCTTCCTCTCCTTTTCCCCTTTAGCCCTGGGCATTTTGGCTTTGCGGGTTCAGCTGTTGTTTTGGACCTGGTTGGGCCAGGGGGATCCAGTGGCTGAAGTCTGAGCTGCATCTCCCAAGGAGGATCAAAAGGAAATGATAGAGCAGCAACTGGAAGGTGGGAGGAAATGTCCACAAGATAAAAGGGCCTGGAGGGGAGGGGGAAAGCAGCTGGCAGGATGATCGGAAGAAGAACGGATCAGTAGGATTTTTGCAATAATAGTCTTAAGGCAGAAAAGAGCAAGGCAGACCATCAGAGGGATGGCTTTGGGGGCCATAGGAGCTGGAGGAACAAGCAGACACCTGAGGAAGAGATGAGCTGAGGGGGAACAGAAAGGGAGACATCCTGGGGAAGGAGAATCTGGGGAGGAAGATGCCTAAACCATGGGAGAACGTGTCCTACTCTTTCAGCTTCCCTGCAGTTGTTTATTTTGACATTTGTAGAATGAAGGCTCTTTTCTGAAGCAGATAGAATATTGGCTGTAACACCAGGCAGTGAGAGAGAGAGAGAGAGAGGGAGGGAGGAGTAAGCAGAGGAAAAGAACAGAAGAGAAATACTGAGGAAAGAAAAATAGAGGAAAGGACCAACAAATGCACTCTATCCCCAGATTATCCAGAGAGAGAATATGAGAGAGAAGAGGTCTGTCTATTGGAAGATAGAGGTACAAGGGATTTCTAGCCTGAGCGAGATGAAGAGGGAACAGCATCTCTGGACCAGAAGTGTGTGTGTGAGAGAGTTCTGTTTTGAGAGGCTTGGGACAGAGCTAAATAAATGTCCTGGTAGGAAACAGGGAAGTGTCTACTCTAGGATTAAATTTTTAAAAAGGTTTTTCAATACTGGGAGTGATAGTAAACTGGAATTTGTATAGAGAGAATGATGAAGGAAAGATCATCATCTAAGGAAAATATTGGAAGCAATCAAAAGACACTTGTTCTTGGAGTAAAGACAAGAATGATGGGAAGGAGCCCTTATGGAGGAAGAATTCTGAGAGGTGGTAGAGTGAAGGTAATCACTCATATTGGGAAGAGGTACACATAAAGGGTTTATAGTGGGGCTTAAGGGGCAGGGCAGGAAGGAGAGATTTCAGAAGAAACCTTCAAAGAGGATAGTGACTGGAAGATCTTTATCTGTGACCCCCACTTATCACTCTCAGTACAGACCCTCCTGACTCTTCCTCACTACACCACTCACGTCCACCTGCCCAGTCTTCATTTTTTTTTTCCTGAAGTAGTTGAGAAAAGAAAAGGAAATTCCAGAAACGTTGGACATAAAATTGGTTTGGGGAGTGATGACACATGGCCCATGCTGAAAATGGTGGGAAAACGAATACTCTATTTTGGGAATTGTATTAGAGTATTTAGCATGAAATGAGAGTTTTTGCTTGAATGATGGGATTGAAACCTCAACATTAGAAGAGTTTGGAGAAAGAATGCTATCTTTGAAATGACAGAGGAGGAATTGCTGTTCTAGTGTGAATGACTGACATTGGTCTGAAATTATTAATTTACATTTGTTTAGTGTTTTACAGTTACTAGTCCTATTAAATGAAATTATAGTGAAGATAGGCCAATCTGGAGAATGGTGAATGAAGTTCTTTTTGTTGGGAATTACTATTTTTTTCTGAAATTTTGCTTCGAGTTAAGAGAGACACCACCTTACTACGACTGATGATAAAGAAAACAACTTTATTATGATTCAGTTGCGGGGGCAGAAGCTATATTAACAGGCAAAAAGAAATACCATGTACAGAAATAATGGGTAGAAAAGATACGGAGAATGGTAGATTGGAAATAATTCTGGGTTTAGAAAGTGGGGAACAGTGAGGATAATTGGGGAAGGTGTCTTAGTAGAAGTGATAAAAGAGGAGAGAATTTTGAATTCATAGAGAAGATTTAAAAGTATGAATCAATAGAAGAGCCCAGAGTGGTGCTGTCTAGCAAGCACCACTTGTAATTAAAACATTATTAGCCATCTTAAAAAGGTAGAAATAAACAGGTGAAATTAATTTTAATACATTTTATTTAACCCAATATGTCCAACACTATTTTATCATTACTCAATATAAAAAAATTTAATGAGATATTTTATATCCTTCTTCCATATTATCTTTGAAATCCAGTGTATATTTTATACTTTCAGCACATCTCAGTTCAGTTTAGCCACGTTTCAAATGGTCAGTAGCCTCATGTGGGCAGTGGTGTTGTATTCATTAACATAAGAGATCCAGAGAGTCGTAAGAACGGAGTCATGTGGAAGTGATGGGGAAAAGGAGCTTTGAATTGGGGTGATGGCAAAGTCTTCGATGTATTAGGAATAATGGAGAAAAGACAGTAGTAAACTCTAAATGACAGAAGGAAAAGAGAATTCTGCCTTGAGTGAGTTGGGCAGTGATGGTCCTGTTGTATGTGAAGGTGCATGTGAGCTCTGCCTGAGAGTAATCACAGCTAACCTGGAGATGTGCAGATACACATTTCAGCAACGATGGGTAAAGGTGATCCTGGGTGCTGGGGGGAATGGTGGAAAGAGCTGTCCATTTGGGGAAATGCAGAAGAAAACTTTAAATTGGGGGTGTTTAGAGCAATGATTCAGGGAGAAAGGAGTTGGATTGCTTGAAAACGAAGACTTAAGAAGTGAAGGATGGTAGATAATCCATACATAATTGTTGGATGGATGATAAAAATACAGGGAGAGATTGACATGAAAGATAATGCCAGTAGTGAGCATGGTGAAAGAATATTTGAAAAGAAAACATTGAGATGATACAGGAAAGAGAATGTGATGGAACGAACCCAGGAGATGGCGGTATAGTGAACATTATTTTAAACTAAAAAAATTTGCTAACTTTTAAAAATGACTTTATTTTAGATAGAGAGCGAGCAGGGGGAGGGGCAGAGGGAGAGGGAGAGAATCTCAAGCAGACCCCCACTGAGCACAGAGCCTGACATGGGGCTCAATCCCAGGACCCTGAGATCATGATCTGAGCCGAAACCAAGAGTCGGACACTTAACCGAGTCACACAGGCGCCCCCAAATTTGCTAATTTCTGAACAGAGGTTGGCAGTAATGATGGAAATCATGCAAGGAAACTAGGGAAACTTCCTAGGAGCATGATGTTTGAGGGCTGATTGCTGTAAGCTAAGCACCTGATTATAACAGGAGAACATTTTAGATGACCATCGATTAATTTTTGAATAGGTATGCATTATGACTGTCCAGATGTATTTACTGATGAGAGAAAAACAGGAAATAATAATGTGACACGGAATCAGAGACTTCTGTTGTTAGAAAAAGGAGGGAAATTTTTCTTGGAAATGATGGAGACCCATGCTTTCCTAGAAATTTTGAGGAAGAGCACACGGTGAGAGTGTTTGCTCCCCTGGCATTTATAGAAAGGCACATGTTGCATTAACTTAATGGGATTGAAGGAACATGTATCGAGGAGTCGTGACACTTGTGCTCAGGGGTCAGCCCTGTCACTTAGCTGCACAACCTTGGCAAATTGCTTCCTTCAATTCGGGGAACGTTTATTGTGTGTCTGTTATGGACTTAGTATATTCCGGACACTACGGGAGATTCAAAGCCTCACAACCTCTCTTGGCTTCAGTTTCCTCATCTGTAATGTAAAGGTTTTGATTCAGATTATTTTTAATGTTTCGGTCAATTCCATAAAATAAAAGCTTGTTTTTCTAGCTTTGATGTTTAAAGTAGGGTTCTAACATGGATTTCATGGACCTCTTATAAAAGGATCTGTTTATTATGGGTGGGGAAAAATTACATCTTTATTTTTGCTAACTTCTAACTAAAATTTGGCATTTTCTTCAGTTATGAGTGTAGGCCAGAAACCATAGTAGTTTCAGCAGTAACTGAGATTTGTGTCACCAACAGAAATTACAGATATTTCCTTATAAATTTATAGCCTTGGAGGCATCTTGTTTAATCAATTAATAAACGTACATGATTATAACACATTCATTTTTAAATATCTGAAAACTGCATTTTTGTATAGTTGGCTTCTAATGTAATCCTATGTGTTTTATATTATATACCTAAACGCATTATTCTGAGAAGGGGTTCATGGGTTGTATCAGACTGCCAAGGAGCTCATGGCATAAAAAGAGTTAAGAACCCCTAGTGGAGAGACAGAGATCCCAGAAGTGGCAAGAGAAAAATTTTGTCTGGAGGATTGGAGTGGGATACTGAGGTGCCTTATACCACAGTGAAGGTAACACTTGGGAGGATTGAATAGAGAAGGGAGATCTCTGCAGTGGCATATGGAAATGTGGAGATAGAGATTTAGATGATTAGGAGGATAATTCTCATACTCAGAGTGATGGGCATAAATAGTCTATACTGGGAGTAATGGGAGCAAGGCAGTAATTGGAATAATGAGGGGGAAATATTTTATTCTTTTTTATTTTTTTTAAATTTTTTAAAGATTTTTTTATTTATTCGACAGGAGAGAGAGAGCACAAGCAGGGGTAGCAGCAGGCAGAGGGAAAGGGAGACGCAGTCTCCCCGCTGAGCAGGGAGCCCGATGTGGGACTCGAACCCAGGACCCTGGGATCATGACCTGAGCTGAAGGCAGACGCTTAACCATCTGAGCCACCCAGGCGCCCCGAGGGGGAAATATTTTAATTGGAGAGGAGGGACATGGTATGATGAACAAAGTGCTTTGCAATGAGAATAATATTACGATGGGAGGCTATAGGCAGGAATTTTGCCTCCGAAGTAATTGGGAAAGAAGGATCTTTGCCTCGAAGCTGGGAATGAGGAAATAGAAATGACAGCATTATGGAGCGATGTACAAAAAGAGGGAAACTTAAGTCGGAATGATGACAGGGAAAGAGTTTGGTGGGAGAGAATTTTTATCTAGAGGGAACAGGAGAAAGTGCCCCGTGCTGGGGTAGGAGAGAAGCAGCCCTGGTTCCGAACCGGTGGGAAGGACGGAGCTTTCGACGCAGGCGGTAGCGCCCATGGTTGTACAGATGATGATGGTGAGCAGAGAGGGCTGGGTTGGGGGCGGTGAAGAGGAGGTTGGGGTTTTTCACTGGAAATATGGGAGAAAATTGTCAGCTTAGAGTAATGTGGAAGAAACACTGGTGTGCTAATTGGGAGAAAGAATTTGGGGAGGAGAGATGCTTGAATTTGGTGTGCTAGAACAGCTGAATTAAGTTGTAGTAGGAAGTGGTTGTGAAGCAGCGTCTTCATTCCCTTCCCACCATGGAAGGGTAAGGAATGACCTTCAAGTGATGAACTGAGAAATCTGTATTAGAAGCCAGGGGGCTGCAGGGACTCCCAGAGACTAGGGTGTGAAAATTG